TATTGTGTAATAGCTCGCTCAACATTGAGAGGGTGAACATTTCGTCAAAATGTGATTTTCGTTTTTTGTTCATGAATGACATCTTTAATACCTACAGTTTCAGGTTTCGTTCACAGAAATGTTGAGTTTGATGAACAAAGTGGAAAAACAACCATTTTGTGTGCATCGTTCTGTTGTTTTACAACACAGCCAGCTATTTCAAAGCCTGCTTTCTCCGTTGTGTGGTTAAGGTATAGTAATTAATATGCAAATACATCATATCTCCAGAATGGGAGGGGCTATGGAGCTCTATTATATACAAATCAGAAGCTTACACTGTGGGCTTTCAAACCATGTATATTTCAGCAGGTTACATAAGGTCTTAATTTCGACCGAATTCCCATGTATGTAAGAGTGGGCTAGTCGGAGAATGCTCAGAAAAATAACACTCGAAATCAAAATTATGATTGACACAAACAAAGTAGATTATTTTCACGTTGAACTTTTTCTTGACCGAAAAACGTTCTCCATTGTCTTCGCGTTTTGGTGAAGTGGGAGGCCAAGTATTTTTTTTGTAAAAAAAATAGCATCCACATTTTCGTGCAGGGGAAACTGACCCTCACCATAATTATGTGCCACTGACAAGATTATTTACCAATTACTTTCGATTTGTATATTTCCTATGCACGATGAGTAAAAAAGAAAGTTACCTGGATTCTTGATTTATTTTCTCAAAAGCAATAAAATTTAATTCAATGCACATGGATGAAGTATGTCTTAAAAGAGCAGGTTCACTCATCTGAAAAATGATTTTCAGATCTTTTGAGTATTCTCAAGATGCTTGCGTTTCCCCGACAAACGATTCCCGTGATCTTCATTCATGCTCAGCGACCGTTTAAAATTGACACCCGCGAAGAAGTCCAGTTCAAGAACCTCTGAAGATTAGGGACTCGGGAATTAACTTGACCGATGCCCAGTCTGACCACAAGGGATATCAAAAGTCTAAGCAAGCGTCAAATTAGGTCAGGTCAAACAAAATCAAAGGAAATCAATCCTGTCAGCGCAACTTTGATTGGTCTCGAGAGCCTTTGTCAACTCACCATCCCATACACACAGAAACAGGTCAAGGTTGAGTATAGATTTAAATCTTTATGCTTTATTTAACCGGCACAACTGTCAGCAAGACCGGATGCGAGTATATCTTCTAGTCTGAGGTAACACGGTGTCATAAAGAGAATACGACTGTAATTGATACTAGCAAGATCAACAATCTTGGATATCCGTACAAATAGTTCTAAAATCAATTGCATTGATAGTTCTAAAATCAATTTTATGAATATATGTAAATTGTACAACCGATTCTTAGCCTACACTCTATTCACAGATGGCATTGTCTTTGAACCTTTGGTCATAAGGAACAAGAAACTGTTTATCAGTAGAAAAAAAACGAATTGAGATAGGCAGGAGCTACCGACGGCATATACCCAGCAGGATTTGTGGCAGTGGGGTACCCCCCCCCCCACCCCCGTGTCCCTATACCCTATGCACCTCTAGACTGATTGGTACCCAACACATCCCTTCGATATCTAACAAGAATTCCTGAGATTCTGGCAAAGCAATGACAACACATAAGGGGGGGGTCCTCTGCCACAAATCTTACTTCAAGCCAACCTCGTCCCCAGGGTGTCGAGCAGTGCGCGCCCACCACTTCCTGCTCTCTCACCCTGGTATTGGATAATTTGCATTTGCCAGATTTTTGAACACGTATGCAAATGAGGAATAGTCTGGTGCCTGCATGTGCGTTACATTAGCGTTTGTTTTTGTATCCGGTGTCTGGAGTAAAAACAGCATCTATTCGTCGCACCGTGAGTTACGAAAACACGATTGTTTTCCAAGTTAAAATAATCTTATCCCGCCAATATGCAATATCACATTTCATAATTTTATGAGCAAATTGGAAAAGAGTATTTTTGAGAAGGCGTGGACGTTATAATCACAATGATCGTGAAAACACGTAATACACGTTGGAAATAACAACACCAACTACATGATATAAATCGATTACTAACCAATTGCGGTATCGAATCAGGATACAGGACTGAGAAAGTTTCCTATCCAGGGCTTACTATTGGAAACGGGGTTAAAAATAAAGTAAGCACTGGGGACGAGGTTGACTACATGCATAATAATATGACCGACGGATTAGTCTGTTTACCTGAAAGGGCGATAGATCGAAGGTCAGGTAACCGTCGCATTAAAAAAAAACATAAAACGATTACCTGTATATCCAAAGAATATCACAATTGTTATACAGTGTATTCAAAGAATACCCGAGATATCGCGGACGTAACGGAGCATCAACGAAAACGAATTAAGGAAATTTGGAATATTTTTGCCGTGATGTCTACCTCAGGCTACCTGTCCTACGATTCATCAGAATTGCTAGGTCTGGGAACCAGACTACACTGTGTACTTCTCAAAATTTTATTTTTAAAACGCCAAGTTAATATCAGCCATATGAAGATCGCCGTGAAAGATCAAGGTCATTCACGAACATCTGCAACCGATTTTTGAAACGTTATCCTGATCAGGTGTTTCCACACAGTATCAGATATGCCATGAATAAAGAACACAAAACAGACATACTTTTTTTTGAAGAATTGAAAGTGTGATTTTTATTATTTGATCTCGTAGTCTTATTAGCAAAATGGTACTACAGTAAATGGATTACTGAGCGTGACTAGAGACCTGGAAAATAATCTGCATCAATACATCAAAATATCGGATTAGTACAAAAACACTATATGGCACCACACCAAAAAAATATTACTACATTGGATATAAAAAAAATATATATAACCAAAAAAGAAAGGAAAAAATCGAAACCCTTATGACAAAGAAGTATATATATACAAGTCTTAAAATATCATGAACAATAATAGGAAAACATCAGGATATGAGAGCTAATTACAAAGCGATGATTAATGCACGAATGATGACCACTCACCGGTAAAAACAAAGGGTGGATTTTGGATTGTTAATAATTACATCCGGTTTCGGATGGGGGGATGAAATCAAAGGTTAGCCATACTGAAAAATGTGACCAAACTTGGCGTTATGAATATTGACAGCACACCGAGATAACGCGATGACAGCAATAATGTACGCTAACGTTTCAATTTCTTGTCTCCTCGCGGAAGTTTTAGAGTACAATGACCTTTTTTGTCATGAATAAAATTATTCAAATAAGTAATGCATGGAAACGCCCGCTGGGGCTTAAAAATGTCAAGATACGGCCCTCTAATAATTCCAGCTTATTTCGAAGTACAATGTACTGTATTTTGGCGAATGAGCTGGGGCCAATTTCAAAAATTTGCTGAGCACAAAACAGTCTGGCTTTAATGCAGGTTACCAGTCAAAGCTCCATGGATTTGCAAACAACAGCTGGATACCAATCATAAGCAATGTACATCACATCGACATTTGGTTGGTAATCCTGTTTTTGCCAAGGAAGACTTTTCACGCTAAGCAAATTTCTTTGCTTAGCGAATCCATGAAATAAGCCATTTGCGAATAACCTTTACCCTTTTGCGAGTGAAATTTGAATAACATCTGGTACACTGACTTGCTCATAATGCTTGGCACGGGCAATCTCTTTCAAAGTTACGCAAATGACGCTCAGCATATACATTGTTCACAATGGGTGAGAATGGCACAAAGACACCAGACCATCCCGGAGTTGGGGTGGCTAGCGTAAAGCTTGCCCCGAATCATGTAATTAGTAACAGTCTCTTTGGTCTGGAGAATTCAAAGTTAAAATGAGCCAAACATTCGAGCAAGTCAGGGTGCCAGATGTTACTCGAATTTAATTCGCAATTAAATGGCTTAATTATTGGCCCCCAGGTTACATGTTGGCAGTGGTAGCCCCCCGTCAGGTTTGCTGAGGTCCCACCCGATTCTCAACGTTAAGTTTACAACCAAATAATGCCGCGGTCCTTCCCAATCATATCAGTTCAGATTTAGGAATCCTCGAAGGGAATGAAATGAGTTCCTGATAAATGTCATCCGCATGCCGCCAAACAGAAGCCCCAAACGAACCAAATCCAGACAAGATCGGAGCTACTTATCCCAGAGTTGAGACCCAAGCGACACTGTCTCCCAGGTACCACAAATCAGCCTGTTTTTTTTCTTCCTCCCACCCCCCTGTCTTTCAGTACACGCCGCTAGCATATTCCAATGTCGGTCATCTAAGTACAAGCCCTAGCTAGCAGTGACTAACGTTTCCTTCTACTGTCATGCAACTGCCACGTTTTATTTAGTCCATTACCATTCAGGCCTTTATCTCTGGATTTTCTCTAACAAAACCAGGCACGTGCTTATTACGCCATGAAGATGCAGCACATTTCATGCAACGCTTACCACCACGATGTACAATTAAAAAAGTAATCCAAAAATAATGGGTTAATTATGTGTCCATGTGAACTTGTAACACTATCAATGTAAAAGTATCTTATGGATGGTTCATCAGCTTTCCATTGTCACCTACTTGCACCCTGCAGTAATGAATGACGGAGCACCTTTGATTTCAAAACGCAAGGTGTGCGTGTGTTCATTGTTTGGTCAGCGCAAGCCACCACATGGGGCCGACTTGGCAAAATATCGAATACAATGTAGTGATGTCATCTATGACTTCAGGGGTCCAAGGTATCAACTGAACACCGGTCAACCAACTTTTGACATGCAAACTACATTGTGTCTCAATTTGTGATTTTAACATTAATCCATTGTTTTTGGGGAATATTTTTTGATACACACTGTTAAGCTATCTATTATGAGTCTTGTACCGACATGTCGCGACAGTTCAAAGCAGGGGAAATTTTTCGAATCATTAATTTATTTTGAAGTTTACTTTAAAACACTTTAGAAATTTCGTTTCACTCTGAACATGATATGTACTAAGAACTCCGTTTGCATAATAGCAAGCCATCGTTTCCCGGTGCATGATTTGTTTTATATTAGTGCAGAACGAGATCTTCGAGTGTTCCCTGCGGTACCCGACTTTTCCCAGTCACTAAGTTTACACACCGGAAGACACGAGGTGCAAGACACCATGTTTAGGAAGTGACATCATACTTGCCATGGGAATATCCAGGATTTGGGTCGTATTTCTGCTGCTTGTTTCAAAAACCAATTCGAGGACTTATTGAGTAAGAAACGTGGAAGGTTTAAAAAGTCAATTAAGTACATGTATTGCCTTATAAAAATTTAATCTAAAAGTTAAGATCTACAGTTTTCTTGAATGTTTAAATACGATGTAGCAGTTATTTACAGTTGTAAATCTACAATTGCCCAACTTTGCCGGAAGACTCAAACAAACCATTTGGGGGTCCATTTTTAAGGATCAATTCATGTAAATTACTTGATTTGTTAACTACATCAAAATTAACTTAATCTATTCTACAAATTAAAAAAAATCAATGGTTACATATACAATTTTTTTAAAGTTATAAAAGGTTACATAAAACAAGATTTAGATGATGGTAATTTGTTATACCAGAAGTTCGTTGCGTTATGTTGTTGCGATTTTTTCATCCATGTACCAAAAATCTTGTGGTTTATGAGCTGTGTTATAGTGATTAGTTAATATAATAGAAGGGGAGGAAATCTGATTCCGGTGGGTGAGAATCTAAGACTGATTAGGCTGACTTGCCATAGACGCTGCCATTCCCTTCTGGGTATCCTGATGGACTGGGAACAGCCAAGAGCGCGCGATTCCTACGAAACGGCTACGGAAGTAGACATCATTGTCTTCTGGGGCGCCCTCTGCCAGTTTCTCGGTGGATCTGTTGGTGCTGGAGGCACGTCCACGCCTAGCAACCAACGCGATGACAACGATGAGGATCAGCAGGCCGGCAACTCCTGCCACAGCGCCACCAACGATCATGGGCAGAGTGCTTGGTTGGTAGTCCTCAGGTCCTTCATCTATGATGGGGCCTTCATCGTCTTCTTCAGTGGGTGTGCCACCGTTGGGGGCGCCCTGTCCATCCTGGTCGGTCTCTGCCGATGAGGGCTCTCCAGTCGGGGGAGGGCCAGTGACGACAGTGTAAACGGGCTCCACATGCATGACAGCGCGAGCTGACATGGTGCCCGTCGCTGCATTCACAACGCACAGAATCTGTAAAATGTGAAGATAGACATCTCAAATTAAGATATCTTATGACAAGGTCTGACTCATGACGATAAGTGAATGTTACACTGACCTCTCAGGGTGTAAACCGAAGTGCATCCTGTCCTGAACATTTGATTTGTCTTTGGATAGAGTCAGGCTCCGGGACTGAATAAGCCAATTTGAGACAGCTCTCGTCTCCATCATATACACATAATACATCATACAAACTAAGAGAGTGCTTTTATATAGAGACCCAGAAGCTAAAATGAACTTGTTGAAATTGATACCTGCAGATATGTATTTATCACTTATCATCCAACTATTGTCAGCAATAATGAAAACAGTTTGTTTCATTCAAACAGCATATCCGATAATAACCTTTATAATGCTGCACGTTTACTTCATGCGCATGCGTCTTGGTTTAATAATGTAGCCAATGAGCACTCAGAGATATTAGCTGTCACCAGCGCCCTTGTAGTAGGACGGTTGGTACGAGTTTGGGAAGGAATAAAAAACTTTACCTGAACAGATTGAACTTCGTTCCCAGCATCATTCACGAGAAGGACGCTGCTGCTCCCGATCGTCTGTACCGTCATCCGCGCCGTACTGCCCGCCTCGCTATCCACCTCTTGACCGCCTACCAGCCACTTGTAGGCTGCTCGTGGCGCAGACTCGGCATTGCATAGGAAGGACACAGACTGGCCTGCTTGAATGGTGGTCTCAGCCGGTACCAGACTGACGGCGGGTGGGCCGCGAACCAGACGGAATGGACCCATTCTGCAGGTCCGAGGCTCGGCCCAGAAGCGCTGGGTGCCGATGCAGATAAACTCGGCCGACTCGTCAGTTTCGGCCACAGTCCAGTCATATCTGTTGAGGAAGAGAACAATGAGGAATTATTGAGCAGTTTGAATGAATGATTTATGTGACTTACCGGTACTGGATTTCACATTGAACTTTGAATCTCATTTTTTAAAGCCTTTCGAGACATGCCCTTCAGAAAATGTCAGTTTTTTCCCCATCTGTTGGGGTAATTTGACTCCAAAAAAGAATATAAAAGTACATGCGTTTTTTGGATACCTTGGAAACTAAAAAGAACCAATGGCCCGAAATCGAAATTTTAGGGAACATTCCTCATTTGCCTCAGTTGCTCAGTGGGTCATGTTATTAGTTAACCCACAAGCGCGAGTGGCACACGCATGGAATGTCATTTTGTTTGCCTGTGTTCAATAGGCCTATGCCAACGGGCAGACCGATATTCCTCGTCGTGTATGGGAAATTGGGGTGTCGATGACGTCGACCGTTCCAACGTCTTGGCAATCGGTCGAGTATCATGTTTTTCTCTGTCTGTTGAGACCCAATAGTCTTTGACATTTTGTGTTCTGCATTGTACACGTTGATTTCATTATCTCTAAACCCCTACATTTCAAGTGATGAACAACATACTGACTTGGCTTGCCTTTCTCAGTGAAAGCAAGTGTCACGTGGCCACAACATGTGGTTTGTAAACAACTTAAGTTAAGCGTGGATGACAAGCGCCTTAAAAAGGTGGGCCCACAACTGTAAATATTTACCCAACATTAAGGGGCGCGAACTGCGCTCCTTGCCCAACCTAAATGCCATTTTGCGTTTGAAGAGCCTTAATAAAGTGTACTCTGTCCAGCTTCAAAAACGACTAAAAATTGGCACACATTGTCAGATAGAGAGCTGCAATTTGATAGGAAGAAGGAGTAAGCTATAACGAGCAGAGGGATCTACCTTACTTTATTGAAAAGCGAACGTACTAGCCAGATGGTTCGTCGGTAAAACTCGGTGCAATTAACAATTTGTAAATTTCTAATTAGCAAATTGTTAATTGCATCGAATTCAAATTATAGAGCTCTCTTTATGACGAATAGGTTAGCAATAGAACAGACACGCCTACTTACAGTTGAAAGATACTTAATAGGAACCCCTTATCTTGACATTTAAGTTAATAACGTTGTCAAGTAAAATTCTCAGAATGTAAAATATATTCCATGTAACTCAAGGATGATGGCATCACTACTTAGTGGAGAGCATGACGCGCAGCCTGGCTCAATAGAGGTCGCTATGTTGTTTACATATGCATTCTATAATGACTTTAAATTTGACATCAATATTTACACTCTTTCACTGAGTAATTCACATATACAAAAATAGCTTGATGGCATGAATTTTTACATTTCCATTCCTCTGAAATCTAGGCAAACTGGGAGACATCCCTGTTAATTTAGAATGTTCCATGCTTTTCCTGACAACTGGGGGCGCTCTTGCTGTGCAGTCACTTTAGGAACACGCTTTTCAGTTTGGGGCTTGTAGACCCAAAGGTTTACTCTTTCAAATGTGTGCTAACAAGTTTGCAAATAGTTACTTTCATGCACCGAAATAACCAAGAAACACAAAAACCAGTTGATTTACCAAATCCGACATTCTGGCAACTGTTGGTGCTGAAGCAGCTGTGACACTGAAATTTCTGCCGTGAACTGTTGAATGACATCACTGTCAGTATTTACTCATGAATATGGACGTTTACATTAGCATAAAACCTCGAGGGCACAAAACACCCTTGACAGAAAGGAAAGTTTGATTGGTTACTAAAGGCCATTCAATTGAAAAAAAACTTACAGGGTCCAGCGACAGCACGTACACTAATTTACTAAGGAATCAGATCTAATGAACTTGAACAAAGGGACTTGGGAGCAATCGCTGATGAGCATCACAGAATCTTGTGAAGGAATAGCCTATATGTATAGCCTATATGTATAAAGCATCTGGCTGCAGCAGTTTAAGACCGCAGTTAGCCAATGCACGCAAATGCTATCCAAAAACCTTCTCATAGAAATGTACACCAATCCATACCGGATGTGATTTGACGATGTGGACAAATTTTGAGCGTCGCATAATATACAATTTGATCCGTCGTGAATTCGAAACGGAGCCTGCGCAAGTGACGGGTATTGACAATTTTAAAAACAGATAGGTTTTACAGATTTTCATACATTATTACGCTTTTCAACGAAAAACAGCAGTTATGAAAGGGAAAAAAGAGTGCTAACTCAAACTTGAGCGTTTCAAACCTTGCAGGGTCGTGGACGTTTTGACTTGCAGGTTACAGGTCACGGAAAAATCTATCCATCCAATCTGAGCTTAAATTCATTAGCCTATCCTAGCGTCCTGTTTGCAGGGTTTGGGGTGCGATCGAATCGCCAAGAGAGTCACTTAATAACACGAGAGGGCGCCTTTCAATACAACTTTCGTAAATACGTTGCATCAAATTCCATGACAAACTTCACAGATTAAGTGCTTCAATATCAAAGCTCGAATTTGTTTTAACATTAACTTATAGTTTGGCTGAATTTTTTTGCAATGTAGGCCCCTTAATCTTTTCAATGTTGTCAAAAAATTGTGTTTCAGAAACAACAATGTCAATGGTAAAAGGTGACAATGACATTTATTGACAATTTTATGGGTAAAAAAGTATGAACTTGACAGAATAACTTTCTTGGAATGTTGTATTGAGATGCACGTTGTAGGTTGTACGTGTAGATGTATCTTAAAAGTAAATGGGAACACTTTTAAAAATATTATGAGGAATTAATTTTTAAGGGAAAATACAACGTTTGCAAACATCAAAAAACGAAATGATCAAATTATCACGAAAAAACCTTACTGAATTGTTAGGGAATGACAGTCTAAAGCATATCCTTTGAAATCGTGGCTCCTGGTGTGCTGACCTTTTCAAGAAAACCTTTCCAACGCTAGTCGGCCGACCAGCGTTGGAAAAAAACTTTTCTTTTTTTAAAGTTGGGGTTTTTTTCTTCATATTTAGTTATTCTGACTTCTTTGCAATTATTGATCAAACACCTCTGAAGCGGTACAAGCCTGCTAGACTGATTCTCTGACCTTACAATTCCCCAAAGTGTATTAATTGCTCCGTTTCATCTTAAGTAGGGTCAGGGAACCAAACTACAAGAACATGATAGGTTTTCTTGGTTTTCCAGCATCTACAAGCCCAAAACGTTAAACAAGTCAGTTTACCAACATTTTCTATAACATATTAATCCTCCAAATCCATTTATTTCTGAAATTGAAGCAAATGAAAATGTTGTACATTCCCTTTAAATACATTATTTCAAAGTATTCAATCGTTGATTATGTTTACAATGAGTGTTCATGGGGATACAGTGGCGTCATAATACTTTATTCTTTACAAAATTCAACCAATAGCATGTAATCTGGGTAATCCTTACTTTTAGGACACCTCTATTTTGTACGAGTTCTGTTCAAAACTGACTTTTGCGGATGACTGTCCAGTACCAAAGTGACTTTTGCAGGCTAAAGAAGTTTTTTTTCTTTAGACAAACTGAGTAAGTCATGTTAGTTATAATTTTGAAAGCACTTTCAAAGAAAATGTGACTTTCCTACCTTTTTTTGCAGTTCGCCATCTTGCTTTTAAAATTTATTTTCTGTTTGTCATCGTCGTCTTTAACCCCTCATAAATCAAAACCCTGCCCTCTTTCTACAAAATCAAACCCGCTGATATTCAAGAGGTGTCATTGCCAAATGTTCAAATGTGTCAATAAATATCAGAATGTCACTTTTGTGTGTCATTTAGTCAGCTGTTTTGGTGAGTCTTTTATTTTTTGTTTACCTTATATAGGAAAGAGGTCCTAAAAGTAAGGATTACCGTAATCTGATTAAAAAAACACTTGTTCAATGATAGTAATTCAACTTACGCAATTCCCGTAGCAGTTTCTCTGGTCTCAACGGCAACGTCTCCTCTGTTCAGGAAGAGTTGAGCCTTCGGGTTGCCTCCCTCGACATCACAGGCCAACGCGAGCGTCTCCCCGACCGCCACCTCGCCAGACCCCGCCCCGGTGCAGGTAGGATACTCCACGGTGGGTGAGGACCATATCTGCAGGTTAGCGGTGTTGGAGATCAAACCTGTACCGCCTGTGGTCACCACACATCGATAAGAACCCGAATCACCTGCCTCCGTGTGGGAAATGACCAAGTTGTAGCTACCAACGCCGGTCATTCCGATGGAGAACCGGTGGGAGTCTGAAGCTACCAGGATGCTGAAGCCACGAGTGATAACGTTACCGTCTTTGACCCAGACGAACTGACCACCCTGCTGACCACTGACTGAGCAGTACAGAGTGACCGTCTCGCCGCTGATGGCCGAAGTATCCCGCGGTTGGAGAACAAACTGCGGGGTGTCCGCCACGGCAAAGACCAGCGGCGAAGTCGCCAGGGATAGGAGGAGTAAATACAGCATTTTCCGCGGGTGGAGTTACTGCGGGACACGCTAAGAGGAAGATATTTCGCGAAGATACGTCTCTGTTCTCCGATGTCTCAAATGCAAAATGTTGTCACTCCAACACTCCTTGCGCTGACTGTAGGGCGTGGGTGTCTTCAGTAAGACCTGAATAATCTACTACAAAGCATTCCAAACCGTGGCCTCTATTGTTATGCTAAAACCGTGTCATTCTATAGAAAAGAAGGTGGTCATAAGTCGAGGGGGTATAAAAAATGAGGTCACGACTTCTTAACACCAGATAGTAAGTTTTTATCATTCATACCAAATTACTCGACATATATAAATAAATATTACATGTATATATGGTTTGTTTTTAGGGGACGGAACTTTCTGGTAAACTCTTCAATACCTTGAATAACATGCGTGCAGTTTTCAATTCCCTTAGTAAACGGATCAAAAGCGATTACGTAACACACACTCAACGACCTTTCCGTTGTGTAAATGCAAGGATGCCACCGCGGTGCACCGTAAGCTTAGCACTGCGTCCTCTGTTGGGACTAAAATTGTCAACCTGTGTGATGCTGAAGTGCCGGCTATTACTTCCCAAATCATTCCATGTATTGAATTGCCTAGTTTTTTTAGCCGGGATGCAGCGGTGGAACTAAAAAATGAGAGGGGGAGGGGGTGGGGAGAGGGGGTATCTTTCCGGGCCGAGAGCATGCTGAGCACATTATAAAGGGCTGTGTCATTTACACACTCGGGGAGCATTTTTTCGAATCTCTGGGCGGGAGGGGGGAGTGGCACAAGTGAGGCTGGGTTGACCACCCTCCCCCTTTGGACCGCCGAAAAAAAGGCTTGGTCCTAGCCCCCTCCCCCCCACCCTTTTTTTTTCTTTAGAGATGCGTTCCCCTTGCTCTTTTCGAGTTTCACCTCGAAAAATAGATTATTTTTTTTAAGTGCTATTTTCTTAGAAGTATAAAAGTTGCACTTTTGAATGACACATCGAACGAAAATTCAACTTTTGTTTAGTTATTGAATTATTTCTTCACAAGAATCGAATTATTGGCAGCCAGACAATAATTCGGCTCTCGCAGGGAGGGTCATTTGTGCGCAGATTTAATAGTCTTTTTTAGAGGGTTTCAGATGCCCCAAATCAGAATAGCCTAAAGCATTTTTGTTCACCCGTTAAACAAGCTGGATCGGAAATATCTCGGAAGCTGCGGGTCAACGAATTCGTGTTCATGCATGAGTCACGTGATTGTGCCATGTAATTTCTGGAAGGAGTTGTGTTTTGAGTTTAATAAATCAGGTTTTTGACACCAGTGACCGCATGATGACCTTTGACCCCATTTTGGTCATGTGACATGAATGAGCTGGGCTACTGATACTTTTGACAAAGTTGGTAGAAATCGGTCAAAATATGTCTGGTATTTGACAAGCCTTTTCAACTCGCCCCACAGCCGGCTACACGCAAACAATAATCTATATATATAAGAGAGAGTTTAACTCGGCCTCCGAGACGATGTTTGCTCATGAAAGGATCCGAGACCGCGGGCTCCCGCGGCGCCAAAATCGCTCCACGTCCGTGGAAAAATACGGAGGGTGTCTTCCGCCGGGTCGGACACTTCGGGTCGTCCTGATTTTCCCGTACGGACCGGCGATCCTTTTCGTCTATTTTTCGTGACAGCATTTTGCACAGGAATTTGCCGTCGTGTGCGCTTTCACGTCGACGGCCTGGTCGCCCCCTGTGCTGGCTTTTCTGCGAGTCTAGACTGTGCGAGGTCAGCGAGGTCAACGTAGGGGTTTCGTTTACGTGTTCTACTCAGCCGTACTGCCAAAGCGTTCACCAAATTGTGATATGGGGTGACCTTGGTAAAATATTTTTTCTCCATGGTGCGTAGCCACCGAGTGCCCCTATTCTTTCATATGCTTCGCTTGCCGCCCCTGCGCCGAGTGCAACGAATACTCAGAAGGACTACACATTAAGTATGCCTTGCGCGGTCTGACCAATCGAAAGTCTACACTGCGTAGTATATCCGGGCTATGCAAAACTGTCGATGGCAACGCGTACTGCAGCCTGCTCCACACCCTGGAAACGAGGTTGGGTCTACGGTGCTCGCTATTTGCATGATTTGAAGCACAAACATGTGAGTGACGTGTATAGTGCTCTGTTGCTTCCATCGTGTGTTAATACAGCTCCATGCTTCCACCAAGGCTGAGCGTTGTGAGTTCGCTGCCCGCCACAGTGTTGCGTTATAATTTCGGGGGCCTGTCTGGGATCAACGAAGGATCGATGCATTGCTTCAAACATCGCGATCTTAAACGCAGTCACACACAAAAATCAACGAAAATGTGTCCGATCCGGCGGAAGACACCCTCCACATTTTTCCACGGACGTGGAGCGATTTTGGCGTCGCGAAAGACCGCGGTCTCAGATCGTTTCAGGAGCAAACATTTCTCGGAGGCCGAGTAAAATTTGCTCTTATATAGATGGTTGACCCAAGTTGAATAACAGTTGACTCGACAAGTTCCTCGCAGACAGTCTCGCAAATTGTAAGACGTTCAAGTTTACGTTTGTTGAAGAGTCCAATATACTGAAACTTAATTATGACCTTCTTAATCAGCCTTCGCCTGTGTACTACGGCAAGCCTTTCAAGTACGTTTTCTCACAAATGCCACTGCCTCACAAAATGCCAATTTAACAGACCAAAGGGAACATTTACAGACTGTTGCCATGGTACATAATTATCATGGGCGTCAATCGGTGGGGGACGGGGAACCCCTCCAACCCCCCCCCCCCCCCATTTTAAAGCGGTGGAGACTTTTTTGCCCCCCCCCCCCACTTTTCTTCCCCGAATAAAAATTGTAGCTACTACATGTATAATGATTCCATTACTCAGAATAGCTGATTCAATGACACCAAACTCGAAAATGATGTTTAAAAGATGATCTTCGTTTTCCAAATGCGACTGCCTCACAAAAAGCCCATTTAACAGACCAACGGCAACATTTACAGACAGTTGCCATGGTACATAATTATCATGTGCGTAAATCGACGGGGGACAGGGGAACCCCCCCCCCCCCCCCCCCCCCCACACACACACACACACACACACATTTTGAGGGGGACATTGTTTGGTCTCCCCCCCCCCCCCCCCCCACACACTTTTTCTTCCCCGAATAAAAATATTGTAGCCTACAATAATGATTCTATTGCTCAGAATACATGTAGCTGATTCAATTACTCAAAACTCAAAACTTTCACAGATGATCTTTTGCTCAAATTGGTTTTAGTGATCAGAAATTGCCTCAGATCACACCACAGAAATTGATATTCTTTAACTGCATGTCTCACCAACTATATCCCCCATTTACATTTAACTCCCCACATTTTCATCCCCAACACTACGCCCTACCCGATCTATGATCGGGTAAACCAGCTTGTAATTTATGAGGAAGTAAAGTCTTACGAGAAGTTAAGAAGCTATAATCTATTATTACTTTTCTAACTTAAGATCTATATTTTAACATCCATGTATCCAAGTTACGCACTTGTCATATTTCGTGGAAAAGAATTTTAATTCACAAAAATTGAGTACATTTCCAGAACCTTCGATCAAAAACCATTTGTGAAAAAAAAATACAGAACGTTCCTTAATTGAACTCAACATTCACACACAGTTTCCATCCAATTTATTAAAACAAAAAGGAAAACATATAGGCCTAAACTTTTTATTCCATTTTCTGAAAATGCCACATTCTTAGGTCGTTTTTGCCATCCAAGGGCTGCTCTTTCCTTCTTCAAATGTCCGCAAGACATCAGTCTACCGAATCATAAAAGATGCAGGCTGCATGCATGGACATATTAAAGATGTATACCTCGTGCTCTTAAAAAAATGGAATTTTTTTTTCACCTAAGGAATTTTCATTCTGTGTTAGTTTTAGCTGCGGGATAGCAGCTCAAATTATCATGTATCTCCGTTAGTTAGTAACAAACATTGACATTGTCTATTGCTTCTACGTATTGGGTTCGTAATAAGTTTAGTATGTATTGAGAAATAGGCTGTTTTCCAAAAAAATAAATTTAAACGATAGTGTTCGGCTATCATAAACACAGGAAAAACTTTAAAAAGAGGGTGAGCATGGGCGTCGCGAAGGGGGGGGGGGGGGCAAGGGGGCGCTTGGCCTCCCCCCTCCCCCGGACAGGCACACAAAAGAGGCGCAAAATCATATTGTTGTTAATTTAATGGGTGGGGGGGGGGGAATGTCCCTGCCCACTCTTGCAAAGATGATCAATCCGAAAATGCTGGAAAATACAGGGATTTTGTGGGGAGAACTTGCTTTGCGCCCCCCCCCCCCCCCAGAAGAAATCCTGGCGACGCCCATGAGGGTGAGATAGCCTCGTGCCATCTTCAAAACCATGATCCGCTCTACGACTACGAAACTTTTCAGAAAACGGGAAAATGTTCTGAATTCAAAAACACACAAAAGGGTTGAGATAAGGCGAGGACTGAATCATTACAAAACGCTTCGTCTGAGAAACCATGTTTACCAAAAAAACATGATTGTTTTTATGAACATAGGTGTACCTCATGTCTTGAAAATCGGCCGGTATTTACATTTCTGAGATAAGAAAAGGGCCGGGCGGTCAAGAAGGGGTCATTTTATTGGTCAATCTAGCTTAAAAGAGTCAATGAAACGAAAATTGCACTGTTTCATATTTGTGGCAAATATGTAGTCTTCTGAAATGTATATAAAAACAGTATGAGAAATCCGTTTTCCTTAAACATTTTTCAAAGTGCACTTTTTTAAACATTATAAATGTTTCATGCTTTTACTGACAACTGAAGGCGCTTTTGTTATGATGTCATTTTAGGAACACACTCTTCAGATTAGGTTTTTTTCTTCGAATTTTTAAACCCAAATTCTGCTTATTGAAAACATTTGTGCCTACAATTTTCTCATTATCGTACCGCCATATACCGAAACAACAATGAACCACTGAAAGTAGAAAAAACACAAGTAAACCCCAAAAGTGCTGGTGACTTTTTATGCTGAAGCAGATGTGAAACTTAAGTTTCTGCGCATGCCTTGAATGACATCACAGTTGCGCTCATAACATAAAAACCAAAAAGGCACCAAAAGGACCTTCAAATGGGAACATGAAGAGTACAAATAAAGTTAAATGGAATACAAAGGTACATTTCAAGGATTGCATTTAACAAAATGTCATTGTTAGGAGGGCCTACTGATGGAATATTCTGCACATGTTGAAAACTAATGCAGCTCTGAACCTGTGAAAAGATTCACTTTGGCGGAAAACGGACACACCAACTGACTAGTCTCTGTTCTGTTTGATCAATATACTCCATCCGGAAAAAAATGTTCTTCACTAAATGACGCACAGGCTCGAGAAGTGTGAAATGAATCAGGGGCGGATCAAGGAATTTTTGAGGGGGCGGGGTTCATCAGCCATAAATTCTCAAATGTAGACATGTTTTTCTCTCCGGACACATAGCTTCCGAAAATCAATAGGGGAGGGGGGGGGGGGGGGAGGGGGGACTCGTACCATACTTTAAATGGGGGCGCTGTTCAAATCCGACGATTATTAACACGATATTACATAATACTGTACAAATACCCCTAACCAAGCTGCCTCTAACCGTATTTTGGGCACAGGCGGACATTATTAACAGTATTGGGGGGGGGGGGGGGGGGGGGGGGGGGGGGGGGGGGGGGGGGGGGGAGGGGGGGTCGCATTATTTTTAATGAATTTCTATGATTTTTTTGGGGGGGGGGCCAGAGCTGGGGGGGGAGTTGGACCCCCCCCCCCCCCCCCCCCCCCCGGATCCGCGCCTGTGAATTACAAAACGCTTCGTCTGACTGAGTTAACAGTTTCCATAATACCGACTAAGCACGCTTCTATTATGGAATACATCAGTCATAAAAACAGACCGGTCTTTGCATTTCCGGCTGAAAGGCTCTGGAAGGTTCCAATGCAGGTCAGAACCTCCAACTTTAAGATTCATTTTTGCGGGAAACGGATACACTGACTGACTAGTCTCTGTTTCCGCTGGATAAATATCTCCCATCCGGTATGATGTAAAACCCAACAAACTTGAGGACAAAGGTCACTGCGGACGACCACATGACTCTCACGTTTCTCATTTTAAAGATGGCTCCCTGTGCTATTTTTGGAGTTTCAACTCGAAAATAGATTTTGTTTTCCAATTGCTATCTTAACAACAATATATGCAAGTTGTTCACTTTTGAATGAGACATCGAACTAAAAAATCCACCGACGTTATTCTTTCACAAAATTCGAATTATTAGCTGCCAGACAATAATTCGATTCTCGTTATGGGGTTCATTTATGCACAACATGAAAGCCCTTTTTCAGAAAGTTACAGACGCCCAAAATCGGAATAAAGTAGGTTTTTTTTTTCGTTAAAACAAACAAACAAAATGAAAACTCGTTAGGAGAAAACAATTCGTTTGTGACGAGCATGGGGTATCAACTTTAGTTTTTACGTGTGGAAAACTAATTTAAGGATTGGGTCTTCTGCACAGATTTACCGTCATGCCATTGTTGAGCAGTCACCCGAAAAGTATGTTTTTTATATCTATTTTTTTATATTTATATAGTGCCGTGACCTCGTGGTCTGGAGCATTGATTTCGTGGTCTGCGGGTAATTCTGCAGGTTGTGGGTTCGAGTCCAGCCTGGGGTCATGGTGCATGTGCCCTTGGGCAAGGCACTTTGTCACTCATTGCTTCTCTCCACCCAGGAGTAAATGGGTACCTGTGAGGGCAGAGATGGTTATTGTGGTTGATTTTAGCCGCTTTGCGCTGAAATGGAAGAATGGAGCTGTATACTCCCGAGGGAGCTGAGATTGTCTTTAGAATGTTTCATTGACCCAATGAGCAGAATGATAACGATGTATCGCCTTGAGCACCAATACTTTACAAATGCACATGTTTTCTCCTCTCAGAGGGATGCAGAGGCCAAAAATAGAACGAAAATAATTTTTCGTAAAACAAAACAAAAATGAATGAAAATTCGTTAGGACAAAATGTTGAAGAGCCACGAAAATATATAGGAAAGAATGTTGCAACCTGACGCCACTTTTTTTCTTCATAATATCATCTCAAAAAGGTCAGTCATTGCAAAAATGTTGAAAAGACATGAATTTCTTGACTCTCCACAGAGTACACAACCAAAGAAGTGGCGTCTGGATACAACATTCTTTCCAAAATGTATACTTCAGGTTTGAAACAATGACACGAATAAAAGAAAATGCATCAAAAAAGCTCCATCAGCTACAGGTCTCGAAGGCAAAACTCCCATTTTGAAACCCGGCTCAATCTGGTTCCTCCCCTAAAACAAAGTCGTAAGTAACCGCCCATCTACCCGTCATGCAATCTTTATGATCCGAAACTTATGAAAATGATCACTATTTTGTTCTCGGAAGCCAAGAATACTGACAAAAAATGAATAAGAACAAAAATTAGGAAACTTTATATAAGTGGATTTTACTTAACTTAATATGTTTTATTGCAAAATTAAAAGTACTCAGAAATATATATAAAAAAAATAGTTGTAAAAATCATCATGTAGGTTTACAAGTACATATTAAGAAGAAGAAGAAAAAACATTAATAACATATCAATATTGACACATCATTTGTTTGTGATGTAAATCTTCAAATGTTGATATCCCACTTAAATTATTTTTGCTTATAGTTATCAATTTTCGGTTCTTTTTGTGGTCTACAATCAAAAAGAGAGCATCCATATTTCCAAATTTAGTTCAAGTCATATGGGTGTTACTCCAAAACGATCAAAGCTTTACTGAAGTCCATCAATATTTAAAGTCGAAATTTCAGTTTTACTAATTAAGGGATAAGCCCAACAATAATATTCATTGACATTTCTTTTGTCAGCACGTATGTGTGCACGTGTTTGTATCTTATTCACATGGGCGTCGCCAGGATTTTTTCTAGAGGTTGGCAAAGCACATTTCCCCCCCCCCAAAAAAAATCCCTATAATTTCCAGCATTTTCCCGATTGATCATTTTTTCGAGGGTGGGCAGGGACATTTGCCCCCCGCCCATTAAATTAACAACAATATGATTTCGCTTCTCTTTTTCTTCTTCTTCTTTTTTTTTTTGCTTGTCCATGGGTGCAAGCGCCCCCCCCCCCCCCCCCCCGTGACGCCAATGCTTATTCAGTAACTCAAATCACGCAAAAAAGGACTGCAAAAGAAATGTCTATACCCAGTCCACATCGATTTGCTTCCTCAAAAAAACCCCAAAATGTACGTATTTGTAGCTTAAGTTTGACTACCTCTAAAATATCATTTCGTAAGTTATTTTCTAAAAGCAAGTTTATAAAGCACTTTCATTTATCTTTTTAACATTAAAACATGTCAACAATCTTCTGGTTTCAATAATGCCCGTCACATCTCTCACATTACTTTATTACATATTTTTACAATATCAAATATCTCAATCAGTGGCGTAACTAAGGAGGCATGGCATGGCCCCCCTCAACCCCCTAAGTTTCATTTATCTTTTAACATAAAAACAAATGTAAAACAATCTTCTGGTTTCAATAATGCCCGTCACAAATATCTTGCACATTACTTTACTGCATATTTTTACAATATAAAATATCTCAAGTGGCGTAACTAAAGGGGGCATGGCCTGCCCCCCCCTCTCCCTCCCCACCCCCACCCCACCCCCTTGCACCAACCGTCAGAGTGTCTTAAACTTTGACCAAAAACATTGTGTTCCCCTACAGAAAATGAGCCCTCCCCACGTTTCCCTTCAAGTAAAACCCCAGTTATTACGCTACTGAGTACTGATCTCAATCGAACCATGATGGGGATCGTGTCACACCTTCATGACACGAACGCTCTTTAAAACTAAACTTTCTCTGCAGCGGACTGTCAATTCTCGGAAAACGCAATTTTTGGGGGTAGCTTTTACAATATTTTCAGTTCATTTAACTTGTAAAAATGCTGTTCGCCGTCTGCCCAGACATACCTTGGCTACTCGATTGTGTTACAATCTTATCATCACCAATTTATCTTTACACAACGACTTTTACGTTTGACTGATTCCTTCCAGATGAGCAATTTGGTTTGATAGAGATTTTTTTGTCAAAAGAAAAGAAAGTCACGGCTAAAGTTCATTCCAACGTTACAGTGCTACAGGGATTTTTACCGACCGAACCAAAAGCCTTTTACTTTTTTGTTCAAGCCCTTTTGCCTTTGACCTTTGACATTTTCACCATAACCTTTGACCTCAGCTCCCGGATGCCGAGTCCACTTTGACCATGATATCGGTTGCTGATTCACAATTTTGCAGTTGTTTTTGCAATTTTTTTTATACATGTGCACCATTTTGTTACTCATTTCCACATCCCGGTGGAAATTCATTGTACAGTATTCACATCACAAAACTATATGCAAAATGGTCTTGGAAGAAAGTGTCCACAAGTTTTTCAGATGCACAAACTGACCACGAGTAAGGGACTGGTCCTTCAAGTATTTTTGTCAGCAACCAATGGTTTTGTTCTGGTCTTCTTGGACCTTACGATCAGGGAACTTAACGAGTAAAGTTTTGATCATACCACACTCTTCGACACCAGACTAATCGATACCAGCATCAGACCTCGACGTGGGACATCTTGCGACCACAGTTGCAGTTATTAGAGGACTGGAGGGGTGGGTAGGAGTCATTCAAGGGTTTGATGAGAACGTCATCTTCTCCAAAGCCAGACTCAGGGGACGTCACCGACATTTGGGATTCGTTATACCGCTTACGGGCTGAGATCGGTGTTAGCTCGGCGTACTCGTTCTGCTGTACCGGCTCCGCGATCTTGGGCAAGGGGCGACCGGCTTGACTGTGGGCCGAGTCGCTGGGCTTGCGTTCCTTGATGGGGGATGAGTCAAGGCGCTTGGCGGGACGGTGGGTAGGAGACCCATTGCTGGGGCTGCGGTACTCATGGTGGCCATGATCATGACGGAGGGGTTTTGCCTAGGGAGTCGACACTGTACTTCCTGTGGGTAGGGGAGTCTCGAGAGTGCGACCTGTTAATGTTGACCAGAGCAGAGGCTGAGTCCAAGCTTACGCTGTCGAACATGTCCCTGCTGTGGGAGCGACTACGATTGAGTTCATAGTCGACACGGTCGAGATAAGGCGTGCCTGTCCGAGAGATGCCACCAAAGGAAGCTAAGGAATGCACGTCAGCGTGGATGTTGTCTAGATCAGTCACTGTGATGACGGCTTGGGTCGGTCGCTTCTTCCTCTTAACGACAAAGATGACCAAAGCGATGGTCAGTAGCAGCAAGGCCGCAGCTATCAGTATGAGAATGATGACGTAAGGAGCTGTGATCAGGGAGCCTGATTTAGGCTCAGGAGTGGCTGGAGGCGGGGCTTTGGTTGGGACCACAATGGGTGGTGTTGGGCGCGGGGGAGGCGTGGTTTTCTTGAAGACATCAATGGCGAAGGAGGCATTGAGTGCTCCTAGACCGTTCCTTGCCTCACAGACAACCACAGTGCCTTCATCCTCGTAAGCCACATCTCTCAGGACCCATAAATTACCGGTAGCCCCGGGTCTATCCACTCTGCTCGCTTGACTCTCTCCAATCTCTGGGCTTGGCGGGGTGATGTACCAAGTATAACTGATATCCGACATTGGGTTAGCCGTCGCACCGCAGATCAGGAAAAGAGTCCCACCCTCCTTAGGAACAAGCGGCGTGGCTGAGATGGTCGTCTCTACGGGCGGGTAGACCACATCAAGAGGTCCTACTTCGCACATCCTCGGTTCTGGAAGGAGTTCGTGCGTCAAGGTGCAGATGAAACTCCTCCCGTCGTCCGCCACGGTGACATTCCTGGCGAAGTTCAGCTCAATAAACCCTGGAGTTGACTCGGTCAGTTTTACTGGGAGCTCTGCTCCGTCCAGGGTCCAGTTTAGACGCGCTGCCGGCTCCCCCCTCTCCGTGGAGCAGCCAAGTTCACCTGCTGACCGACTTGTAACCCCGTGGTGCTACGGTAATCAGGAAAACATTGCGGGTAACCTTCTCCTGGTGGATGCTGAACTATCAGTATCGCCGGGTCTGAAACGATGGGCTCACCCCCTGACGACGGCGCGCGGAGCTGGCACTGAAACGGGGCGTTGTCCGATGTCAAAACATCAGTGATCATCAGGTTGTAGTCAGTGCCTTGGATGGAATCACCAGCTATGGAGTATCTGGCAGAGGGTACTGCTGAGGCTATAATGAACCGATCGCTACTGATCACTTTGTTGCTTTGATCCAGTTGACCGTGTACATACCCTTGTTGACGACTTTGCAGTGCAGGATAGCGGTACGTCCTGCCACGACGGTGGTCGTTTGAGGAGCGATCTCAATCCTCGGCTGGGCTTCCACTGCTGTCAGACAGAGTAGCAGACCCCACAGCACACTGGGTGATATAACCCAGAATGTACACATCATCACAAATTCGTCAATTAGTCAAGTTCGAATTAAAAGGTGATTTCACTCTTCACTTACAATCAAGCAGATCAAAATCTAGTGTGAAATATGTTTGTATCAAAGTACACCCACAAAAGAGTTTTCAAGAAGTTATATAATCACACATCAATCAAGACACTCCAACAAATCAAAATATAAGTCCAGTCTCAAAATTGTATCTGAATTCGGTATCTCCAAGAAGCGCATCCATACACTAGTAGCAACTCGTAAAACAATGGAAATTGTCACAATGCTGAACCTGCACTAGTGTCTAATCTAAACATCGCAATGAATCTGCTGATGGGTTATCTAGCTATAAAAGGACAGGCATCGGGTGTACATCCGCCCACTGTTTCCTGCTTGGGTGTTGTCTGAGCTGTGTTTCTGTTCCGTTCTAGCTACCGCAGTGAGATCGTTTACGGAAGCCGCAACTAGGATGATAGGGCTGGATTCCAAGGTGATTGTTGTGTGATCAAATGTAAATAGGCCTACTCCGCCTGGAAAACGATCATCCAATTCTGTAAATTATGATGCAATCAAGTTTTGGTTTTTCGTGGTCATTGTTACCGATCAGAAATTCCAAATATTGACTTTTTCTTTTTAAAAAGATATTTTTTAAAAGTATCTTTTAAGTATTTTTTGCTGTCTCATGCCACATCCACCTCAGGGTGCAACCCAGTAAGTAGGTCAGAGAGCCGTCCGCCGAACTCATGAATTATAAAAGTTAGCATATACACATGTACTCTCAAAATTTTAAGAGTTCTGAGAGACATGGAATTTGGGGATTGGAGACATAAAATGGCCCTGTACCTCTTGCCTGGACTTGGGGCTTCCAATTCTGAGCATTTTTGATGCAATTGGGTCCGAAAGTGAAGCTATTTAGCCATGTGGTGGAAGGATCCTTTTTCAAAATGGCTACCAGTTTGGGAAACAAAATTCGTTTTAGGGTGGTCTTCTTTGGCTGAGATTTCTCAAAAAGTCATCGGTTAACCCACCAAAAGTTGAAAAGAAAATGAAAGATGACGTGTTGATTATCATATTTCTGTGCAGCCGAACACCTGTGAGAGTTCTGAGTATTTAAACAAATAATTGAAGTATAGGGATTTATCACTCGTGGCTATGGGGATTTACTTACTGGGTTGCAGCCTTCACAATCTGTGGAAATCCACATCCAGTGCCTGGCCCTTCGATTCTGCCTCCTCCTAAAACAAACAAACAAACAAATACATGGAATCGAATTTCTGATGTGTTTTTTGCAAGCCGTCATAAACTGCAGATCCGACAATGACAGGTGTTGTTTTCCAGGATATCGACTTTAAAGGGAATTTGTTGGGAATTGGATGTCATGTTTATATGTTGGAAAAGTGCCAAGTTAGAGATTTTGGCATGACTTATCAATTATTTCTATGACTGTCCAAAAAAGAAGAAAAATACACAAACTGACAGGCCGGCCTACGTTTTGGAGGCACTATGGAATCAAATATTTATTTTTAATCCAGTATAGTCAGGCATGCACTGGGAAGTCACACAAAAAAAGAGGAAATTCAAATCTTTCCAAGACTTTGTAGGGTGTTTTGCTATTTTTAATGGCACACATGGGAAGTAAACAAAAAGAGGAAATTAGCTGATCCAAGGAACAGTTGCAAGCCTGTATAGTACACAAATTCAACATAACGTAATAAAAAATGATGCCCTGTAAAATCTGTAAACACTGACAATAAATACATATTTACATATATTTAAAACAGTAGGAAAATTAATTATTCAAATTGGATTCAGGAAATACATGAATACATGAAATATTTATCAGAATAAAACTTGAGAAACCAATATTTTCCATGACAATTTCTCTTTATGTACACAAGTTAAAGGTAATGGACACCATTTGAAAACAAAAATAAACATTTTGTGCCAATTCAAGGAACAACAAATGTGAAGCAGGGTATTGAAAAACTAACCTGTTGAAATTTCAGCTCAATACATATTCCTTTTGGGAAAACTGTGAAAGTACATCTTTGTTTTTCTTGACAAGAAAAAGAGGGGTCCGTTGAATGCCCTCCGTCCCTTCCAAACTGTTCATTGATACTTTTTGACTTGAAACCTTTTGTGGTTTGATCCCAGTTTGTGACTTGGGAAAATGGTTCTCATTTTACAGATATGGAACCGATTGCAAATTCCGCCGTCTATTAAACCATCATAGGAAAAGATGCTAATTTCTCTTTTCTTGAAAATGACAGCATACCAGGAGCTGCGATTTCACAGGATGCTTTCCATTAGTTACTTTACAATCAAGTAGGACATTTCTACAAGCATGAATCAATCCCCACAATCTTATTAATCCCCACATCTATCTTATTGGTTTGTCTGTTAACAAGATAACTCAAACAGTTATGGATGTATTTGCACAAAAAAAATCGATTAGATTTTGGAAGTGATCCGGATCTGGGTCTGGATGCAGGATTTATTTCAAGTGTTCTTCACCATTTATGCGAGTGTTTCTTTTGGGTGTACTCACAATACGGCAGAGAATTGTTTAGCCTTGGTGGAGGTTTGCGCTCTCTGCGTGCTTGCTAGTTCTAACTTGGTCTCTCACTTTTGACTCACCCTGTACAGTTAGTTACACAAGTGCCAGTGGAGAATCCACTTCATTTCATTTCAAGAAACAAGTAATTTATTATAATAATAAAAAAACTCCTAGTCTGACATTTGCAAATCATTTATGATGCAAAAGCTCAAGTCAGGGGAAAGGGGATTAGAATATGTAAAGATTTCTAAATCCCAGTGAGTATTGATGGGTCAGTTGTGTGCCCGACAAATCAGGGAGTAGAAAGAGCTGTCATGAAACACTCTTCATTTTCATCTTGTTGGCGGACACGACGGATATTTCCTCATTCCAGACTCGGTAGAAACTTTCCGTAGTTTGTCCAGAAGGAACTCAAACCCTTGGCTTCCTGTAAATACTAAGGAAGAAAAACGTGTGCATTTCCGTTAAAACAAACAAACAAAATGAAAACTCGTTAGGAGAAAACAATCCGCTTGTGACGAGTTCGGGGTATCAACTTTAATTTTTACGTGTGGAAAACTAATTTAATGATTGGGTCTTCTGCACAGAATTACTGTCATGGCGTTGTTGAGCGGCCACCTGAAAGTATGTTTTTTTTTATATGTATATTTTTATATTTATGTGGAGTGCCGTGGCCTCGTGGTCTGGACTGGAGCATTGAATTCGTGGTCTGCGGGTAATTCTGCAGGTTGTGGGTTCGAGTCCAGCCTGGGGTCTGGTGCGTGTGCCCTTGGGCAAGGCACTTTGTCACTCATTGCTTCTCTAGATCTCCTCCCATGGAGTTGTGGGTACCTTGCTGTGATTGATTCTAGCTGCTTTGCGCCGAAATGACAGCATCGAGCAGTGTATACTCCCCAGGCAGCTGAGATTGTCTTTAGAATGTTTCATTGACCCAAATGAGCAGGGTAATAAATAAATGATGTAGCGCCTTGAGCAGCAGTACTTTATAAACGCACAATATATTTTCTCAGATGATGATGCAGAGGCCCAAAATTGAACAAACAAAAAAAAACAAATTCGGAAAAAAAGAATGAAAATTCGTTGGGATGATATGTTGAAGAGCCCAGAAAATATACAGGAAAGAATGTTGCAATCTGACGCCACATTTTTCTTCATTATCATCTCAATAATATAAAGGTCAGTCATTGCAAAAATGTTGAAAAGACATAAATCTGGAACTGAAAAATTTTCAATACTCAATTTTCTTGACTCTTCATAGACTTTGTACACAACCAAAGAAGTGGCGTCTGAATACTACATACTTTCCAATATGTATACTTCAGATTTGAAACAATGACACGAATAAAAGAACATTAATCAAAACAGCTCCATCAGCTAAAGGTTTCGAGGGCTAAACTCCTATTTTGAAGTCCAGCTCAACCGGGTTCCTCCCCTACAACGAAGTCGTAAGTAACCGCCCATCTACCCGTCATGCATCCTTATGATCCCAAACTCATGAAAACGATCACTGTTTTGTTCTCGGAAGCCGAGAACAATGAACACTGACTAAACCCAATAAGAACAAAAAATAAGAAACTTTATGTAAGTTAATTTTACTTAATATATTTTATTGCAAAATTAAAAGTTCTCAGATATATATAAAAAAAAAATTAAAATTATAAAAATCATCATATGATATGGTTTTACAAGTACATATTAAGAAGAAGAAGCAAAACACATTAATCACATATCAATATTGACACATCATTTTTTTTGTGATGTAAATCTTCAAAAGTTGATATCCTGCTTAAACTATTTTTGCTTAAAGTCATCAATTGTCGGTTCTTCTTGTGGTCTACACTCAAAAAGAGAGCATCCATCTTTCCAAATTTAGTTCAATTCATGTATGTCACTCTAAAAAGATCAAAACTATACTAAGTTCCATAAATATTTAAAGTCGAAATTTCAGTTTTACTAATTAAGGGATAAGCCCAACAATAATATTCATTGACATTTCTTTTGTAAGCACGTATGTGTGCATGTGTTTGTATCTTATTCACATGGGCGTCACCAGAATTTTCTCTAGAGGGGGCAAAGCATATTTTCCCCCAAAAGATCCCTATATTTTTCAGCATTTTCCCGATTGACAATTTCTTTCGAGGGTGGGAAGGACATTTGCCCCCCCCCCCCACCCCCACCCATGAAATTAACAACAATATGATTTCGCGCCTCTTTTTTTCTTCTTTTTTTTCCCCCTCTTTTTTTGGGGGGAGGGGGGGGGTTGTTTGCTTGTCCAGGGGGGCAAGCGCCCCTTGCCTCCCCCCCCCCCCCCCCCGTCGCGACGCTCATGAGCGTGAGCTTATTCAGTAATTCAAATCACGCAAAAAAAAGATTTGCGAAAGAAAGGTCTTTACCCAGTCTACATCGATTTTGTTCCTCAAAAAAATTTTTGTGTGTTTTTAGCTTAAGTTTGACTACCTCTAACATATCATTTCGTAAGTTAGTTTCTAAAAGCAAGTTTATAAAGCACTTTCATTTATCTTTAAACATTAAAAAATGTCAACAATCTTCTGGTTTCAATAATGCCCGTCACAAATATCTTGCACATTACATTTATTGCATATATTTTACAATTTCAAATATCTCAATCAGTCACGTAACTAAGAGGGGCATGACATGCCCCCCCCCCCCCAATGCACCAACCGTCAGATTGTTTTAAACTATGACCAAATTCATTAATTTTGTGTGCCCCTATCAAAAATGAGTCCTCCCCAAGTTTCCCCTTCAAGTGAAACCCCAGTTACGCAACTGATATCAATCGAACTTAATGACGTCATGATGGGGATCGTGTTACTTCATGATACGAATAGTCAGGTGGCTTAGATCTAATTTTCGTCAAGATCGTGACCAACTGGTCCAAAACACCAAACTTGGCAGGTAGATTCTTATTGACCTAGAGAAGATATTTAGAAGGGGTGACACCTGAAATTCTTTTAGGAAGGGTGCCTTATTTGCATAAATCGTTAATCCCTGTCGTGTAATATATTTATTCCCATATTTGGGTATATTTCTATTTTTTTATTTTTTTGAAAAGTGTATTCTGGCGATTCTACTTACATATCTTTACTTAAATAACATTTTCCAAAGCATATAAGTGACTGAATAATTATGAGGACATAGTAACGATCCAAATGGCTACTATTATGCCCTAAAATTGCGCGCATTTACCTTGTCTCCAGATATCATCAATTAGTCTTGCTAAACATCAGCATTGATGAACTTCAAATTCACCAAGTAGCTTACTGGTACAGTTACCCTATTAAAACCTTATGCAAAATCATGTGAACAATGATAACATTGTGATATTTAGCCCAGAAAACAAAAACTGGGAAATAACGAGGTGTCCATAAATTGGGCTAACAAGTAGGTGAAGGGTTGCCTAACATGGAACACTGGAACAAGTTCAAGGAAATTCCAAAATTATTGTTGAGAAAACGTTTTGGCGTAGACAAAATTATTGTAAACAACAATTATAATCTCTTATTTAGGGGGATTTCGTTGAACTTGTTCAAGTCCCCACGTTACCCTTCCCGTACTAGCCCAATTTACGGACACCACATTTTCTCCCCTTTTTTGGTCTTTTGGGCTAAACATCAAGATGTTATCAATTTTCACTTGATTTCCCACTTATTTTTGTTAGGGTAACTATGCCAGTAAGTAACTTTGTGAATTTGAAGCTCATCAATACCCACGTTTGGCGAGACTAGTTGATGATATATGAGGAAAAGGTAAATGCGCGTAACTTTAGGGTAAAATGGTAGCAATTTTTTTGTTTATTATGTCCTCCTAATTATTCAGTCACTTATATGTTTTACAAAATGTTATTGAAGTAAGAATATGCAAGTAGAATCACCAAAATACACTTTGCAAAAAAAAAAAAAAATTAAAAATATACCCAAATATGGGAATAAATATATAACACGGCAGGGATTAACGATTTATGCAAATTAGGCACCCTTCCCAAAAGAATTTCAGGTGTCACCCCTTCTAAATATCTTCTCTAGGGCTATAAGAATCTATCTGCCAAGTTTGGTGCTTTGGACCAGTCGGTCACGATTCCGACCATATGCCACCTGACTAGAACGCTCTGTACAAGTAAACTTTCTCTGCAGCAGACTGTCAATTTTCGGAAAACGCAAACAAAAAATACAACTTTTCGTCCGCTTTTACTCTTTTTAGTATATTTTCAGTTCATTACATTATTTTGTAAAAATGCTGTTCTCCGTCTGCTCAGACATACATTGGCTACTCGATTGTTTTGCAATCTTATCGTCACCAATTTATCTTTACACCACGACATTCACGTTTGACTGATTCCTTCCAGATGAGCAATTTGGTTTGATAGAGATTTTTTTGTCAAAAGAAAAGAAAGTCACGGCTAAAGTTCTTCCCAACGTTACAGTGCTACAAGGATTTTTACCTACCGAACCAAAAGCCTTTTACGTTTTTGTTCAAGCCCTTTTGCCTTTGACCTTTGACATTTTCACCATTACCTTTGACCTCAGCTCCCGGATGCTGAGTCCACTTTGACCATGATATTGGTTACTGATTCGCAATTTTGCAGCTGTTTTTGCAATTTTGTTTTTCATACATGTGCACCATTTTGTTACTCATTACCACAGCCAGGTGGAAATTCATAGTATTCACATCACAAAACTATATGCAAAATAGTCTTGAGTGGCAGAAAGTGACCAAAAGTCCTTCAGATGCACAAACTGACCACGAGTAAGGGACTGGTCCTTCACGTATTTTTGTCAGCAACCAATGGTTTTGTTCTGGTCTTCTTGGACCTTACGATCAGGGAACTTAACGAGTAAAGTTTTGATCATACCGCACTCGACTCTTCGACACCAGACTAATTGATACCAGCATCAGACCTCGACGTGGGACATCTTGCGACCACAGATGCAGTTATTAGAAGAATGGAGGGGTGGGTAGGAGTCATTCAAGGGTTTGATGAGAACGTCAACGATTCGTTATACCGCTTACGGGCTGAGATCGGTGTTAGCTCGGCGTACTCGTTCTGCTGTATCGGCTCCGCGATCTTGGGCAAGGGGCGACCGGCTTGACTGTGAGCTGAGTCGCTTGGCTTGCGCTCCTTGATGGGGGATGAGTCAAGGCGCTTGGCGGGACGGTGGGTAGGAGACCCATTGCTGGGGCTGCGGTACTCATGGTGGCCATGATCATGACGGAGGGGTTTGCCTAGGGAGTCGACACTGTACTTCCTGTGGGTAGGGGAGTCTCGAGAGTGCGACCTGTTAATGGAGGCTGAGTCCAAGCTGACGCTGTCGAACATGTCCCTGCTGTGGGAGCGACTACGATTGAGTTCATAGTCGACACGGTCGAGATAAGGCGTGCCTGTCCGGGAGATGCCACCGAAGGAAGCCAAGGAATGCACGTCAGCGTGGATGTTGTCTAGATCAGTCACTGTGATGACGGCTTGGGTCGGTCGCTTCTTCCTCTTAACGACAAAGATGACCAAAGCGATGGTCAGTAGTAGCAAGGCCGCAGCTATCAGTATGAGAATGATGACGTAAGGAGCTGTGATCAGGGAGTCACCAGATTTAGGCTCAGGAGTGGCTGGAGGCGGGGCTTTGGTTGGGACCACAAGGGGTGGTGTTGGGCGCGGGGGAGGCGTGGTTTGCTTGAAGACATCAATGGTGAAGGAGGCATTGAGTGCTCCTAGACCGTTCCTTGCCTCACAGACAACCACAGTGCCTTCATCCTCGTAAGCCACATCTCTCAGGACCCATAAACTTCCGGTAGCTCCGGGTCTATCCTCTCTGCTTGCTTGGCTGTCTCCAATCTCTGGGCTTGGCGGGGTGATGTACCAGGTATAAATATCCGAGATTGGGTTAGCCGTCGCACCGCAGACCAGGACAAGAGTCCCGCCCTCCTTGGGAACAAGCGGCGTGGCTGAGATGGTCGTCTCTACGGGCGGGTAGACCACATCAAAAGGTCCTACCTCGCAAGCCCTCAGTTCTGGCATAAGTTCGTGCGTCAGGGTGCAGATGAAACTCTTCCCGTCGTCCTCCACATCGACATTGATGGCGAAGTTCAGTTTAATATACCCAGGTGACTCGGTCAGTTGTGCTGGGACCTCCGTTTCGTCGAGAGTCCAGTTCAGACGCGCTGCCGGCTCTCCCCTCTCCGTGGAGCAGCTGAAGTTCACTTGCTGACCGACTTGTAACCCCGTGGTGCTACGGTTATCAGGGGAACATTGAGGGCAACCTTCCCCTGGTGGATGCTGAACGATCAGATACGCCGATTCTGAAACAATGTCCTCACCCCCCGACGGTGGCGCACGGAGCTTGCAACGGAACGGGACGTTGTTTTCCGTAGTAAAAACCTCAGTTATCATCAAGTCGTAGTTGCCTTGGATGGGGTCACCGACTATGGAGTATCTAGTAGAGGGAACTGCTGTGGATATAATGGACCCATCGTTACTGATTATTTTGTTATTTTTGATCCAGGTGACCGTGTACATTCCCTTGTTGACGACTTTGCAGTACAGGATAGCGGTGCGTCCCGCGACGACGGTGGTCGTTTGAGGAGCGATCTCAATCCTCGGCTGGGCACCTACTGCTGCCAGACACAGTAGCAGACCCCACAGCACACTCGTCGATACAACCCTAGATGTACACATCATCACAACTTTGTCAATCAGTCAAGTTCAAATTAAAAGGTGATTTCACTCTTTACTCACAATCAAGCAGATCAACATCTAGTCTGAAATATGTTTGTATCAAAGTACATTCACAAAAGAGTATTCAAGAAGTCACACATCAATCAAGACACTCCAACAGATGAAAATGTAAGTCCAGTTTCTTGTAAGTGAATTCGGTATCTCTAAGCAAAGCATCCATACACTAGTAACAACTCGTAAAACAATGGAAATTGTCACAATGCTGAACCTGCACTAGTGTCTAATCTAAACATCGCAATGAATCTGCTGATGGGTAATCTAGCTATAAAAGGACAGGCCACGGGTGTACATCCACCCACCGTTTCCTTTTCTTTCAAGTATTTTTTGCTGTCTCATGCCACATCCACTTCAGGGGTGCAACCCAGTAAGTAGGCCAGAGAACCGTCCGCCGAGCTCACGAATTATAAAAGTTAGCCTATACTCTCAACATTTTAGAGTTCTGAGAGGCATGGAATTTGGGGATTGGAGACATAAAATGGCCCTGTACCTCTGGCCTGGACTTGGGGCTTCCAATTCTGAGCATTTTTTGATGAATTGGGTCCGAAAGTGAAGCTATTTAGCCATGTGGTGGAGGGATCCTTTTTCAAAATGGCTACCAGTTTGGGAAACATAATTCGTTTTAGGCTGGTTTACTTTGGCTGAGAATTTCTCTCAAAGTCATCGGTTAACCCACCAAAAGTTGAAAAGAAAATGAAAGACGTGGCTATGGGGATTTATTTACTGGGTTGCAGCCTTCACAATCTGTGGAAATCCACATCCAGTGCCTGGCCCTTCGATTCTGCCTCCTCCTAAACAAACAAACAATACATGGAATCGAATTTCTGATGTGTTTTTGCAACCCGTCATAAACTGCAGACCGGACAAATGGGACAATGACAGGTGCTGTTTTCCAGGATATCGACTTAAAGGGAATTCGTTGGGAATTGGATGTCATGTTTATATGTTGGAAAAGTGCCAACTTATGGATTTGAGCATGACTTTTCAATTATTTCTATGACTGTCCAAAAAAAAGGAGAAGCAAAATATACAAACTGACACGCAGGCCTTTGTTTTGGAGGCACTATGGAATCAAATATTTATTGTTAATCCAGTATAGTATACAAATTCAACATAAAAAAATTATAATAAAACACGATGCCCTGTAAAATCTGTAAACACAGACAATAAATACATATTTACATATACTTAAAACAGTAGGCAAATTAATTATTCAAATTGGATTCAGGAAATACATGAATACATAAAAATATTTATCAGAATAAAACTTGAGAAACCAATATTTTCCATGACAATTTCTCTTTATGTACACAAGTTAAAGGTAATGGACACCATTTGAAAAAAAAATTAAACATTTTGTGCCAATTCAAGGAACAACAAATGTGAAGCAGGATATTGAAAAACTAATCTGTCGAAATTTCAGCTCAAATACATATTCCTTTTGGGAAGACTGTGAAAGTACATCTTCGTTTTGATCGACAAGAAAAAGAGGGTCCGTTGAATGCCCTCCGTCCCTTCCAAATTGTTTATTGATACTTTTTGACTTGAAACCTTGTGTGGTATGATCCCAGTTTGTGACTTGGGAAAATGGTTCTCATTTACAGATATGGAACTGATTGCAAATTCCTCCGTCTAAACCATCATAGGAAATGATGGTAATTTCTCTTTTCTTGAAAATGACAGCATACCAGGAGCTGCGATTTCACAGGATGCTTAAATGATCACATTGGTGACTTTACAATCAGGTAGGACATTAAATTTTCTGCAAGCATGAATCAATCCCCACAATCTTATTAATCCCCACATCTATCTTATTGGTTTGTCTGTTAACAAGATAACTCAAACAGTTATGGATGTATTTGCACATAAAATTCGATTAAATTTTGGAAGTGATCCGGATCTTGGTCTGGATGCAGGATTTATTTCAAGTGTTCTTCACCATTTATGCGAGTGTTTCTTTTGGGTGTACTGTACTCACAATATGGCGGGGAATTGTTTAGCCTTGGTGGAGGTTTGCGCTTGCTTGTTCTGACTCGGTCACTCACTTTTTGACTCGCCCTGTACAGTTAGTTACACAAGTGCCAGTGGAGAATCCACTTCATTTCATTTTAAGAACAAATCATCATAATAATAAAAAACCTCCAAGTCTGACATTAGCAAATCATTTATGATGCAAAAGCTGAAGTCAGGGGAAAGGGTTTGAATATTGAAAGATTTCCAAATTGCAGTGAGTGTGGATGGGTCAGTTGTGTGCCCGACAAATCAGGGAGTAGAAAGTGCTGTCATGAAACACTCTTCATTTTCATCTTGTTGGCGGACACGACGGATATTTCCTCATTCCAGACTCGGTAGAAACTTTCCGTAGTTTGTCCAGAAGGAACTCAAACCCTTAGCTTCCTGTAAATACAAAGGAAGAAACATGTGTGCAGTGACAAGGAAAACCAAATATGGAATATAAAATCAGGATATTGTAAGGCTGTGCATTTTTTTTATAATTTAGTATTTGATTATTCGTGGACTTGATCAAAATACTCAAAATGTGCTAATCAAGTTTAACATGCGCCAGCCTTAAAGGGAATGTACAGGATTTGCTTTTGCTGTAATTTTCAGAAATAAATGGATTTGGAGGGAAAAGTATGTTATAGCAAATATTGTTACATTGGCTTGTTTCATGTTTTGGGTTCGTAGATGCTGGAAGAACAAAGAAAACCACTCATGTTCTTGTAGTCTGATTCCCTGACCCCACTTAAGATGCAACAGAGCAATTTATTGACTTTGGGGAAATGTAAGGTCAGGGAATCAGTCTAGAATGCTTGTACCCCTTCACAGGTGTGTAATCAATTGGAAAGCAAATGCGGAACAATTAAATAAAAAAAAACAAGGAGCAGAATTGAAAAAAATCCAGTTTTCTCAAATGCTGGTTGGCCAACCAGCTTTGGAAATTGATTCAAAAATACCACTTTACTTTAAAATGTCGGCACACCAGGTGCCATGATTTTACGGGATGTTTTAGACTGTCATTCCCTAACAGTCCAGTAAGAAATTTCGTGATAATTTGATCATTTTGTTTTTTGATGATTGCAAATGTGGTATCTTCCCTTTAACTGGTCACTGATCAGGTATTCGCATGCTCCTGAAGTTGTTGAAGAATGACAAAGATATAAGTAATGTAAAGTAGAGGTAGTGAAATGACTGATATTTAACCAATTTTTTAAAAAGAAAATTGGGAGACCATTAGCAACTGATGCATTCCATTTCGGCTGGTGTATGGCACATCTAAAAATTTGATTGGTATGTTGTGAATATTCAATCAAATCCAACTTTGAATAACTGAATACCGAAACAGTCAAACATACTGAGCATTAAGTCCCACCCAAATGTTCTCTATTTTTTTTTCTTTGTTGCATAAGCTCTCAAAAAGCATTCAGTACACTGTTCTAAAAACAATTTATCAGTCAAGTGCAAAACCAAATACCAAAATGTACATCGCATAACATGGCAAATTTTCTACTGAATGAAAACTAAGAAATTGTCACGTTCGTAAGAATGAAACATTAGATCAATGCGTTCATTATGGAGCTATGTACAGGCTGGATAAATAAAACGAAACCGAGATATTATTGCTAATTGGAACAGAAGTAGGGCACATGTGAATCAAAGGGAGATAGCCTCTGTTAGGGTTGAATCTCCTCTTTAAAATGACACCCTGATCATGTGATTACATTCACGGCTGTCTGGGCAGTGACCAATTTCATGAAAGGGTCTATAAGACTTGTGCCACTTTTCATGGTTAAATCTCTTTTTTTCCCCCACCTGCCTTGATTGGCAACCATAGCCTTTCACTCTGTGACAACTGACAACAAAAACCACAATTGAAAAGTGGCGCAAGTCTCTTAATAGACCCTTTCATAAAATCGGTCACTGCTCAGTCAACCATGAATGTAATGACATGACCAGGGTGTCATTTTAAAGAGGAGATTCAACCCTAACAGAGGGTATCTCTGTTTGATTCACATGTGCCCTACTTCTGTTCAAATTAGCAATAATATCTCAGATTTTTTTTTTATCCGCCCTGTATAATGCTCTGAAGAGGAACTATTTCTTGTCCTATTCTACAGAAATCCAGGGTTTATTTTTTCCCACAGTCCAGTATCAGTTCTGTATATTATTATTTGCTACTAGCTTCCTTGTTGATAGTGGAACTCTTTTATTGCCAGAAACCCCCCCCCCAAAAAAAAAAATGATGCCATAGAGTCAGAATGCGTGGGATGTTTGTAGAAAAAACTGCATGTCATTTCCCTTTGAATAGGCGTAATGAAGCGGACAAAAACTTGAAACGCCCAGAACTGACTTTCCATTGAATACCACCTATTCAATTTGGTAACAACTTTCCGTGGGAACAACCAGCAACTTATAGAAAAACTGAGGGAGAAAGATAAAGCCAGAGGGAATCTCACCTTTACTCCACATTCAGGCAGTATGCTTTCCAATGTCAAAGGGGACGGTTTGTCAGGACGAGTGTATTTTCCAATTTGGGGATGAACAGAAGGTAGCTCTTTCACCCTGAAAAAAAAATATTAAGAAAAAGAAAAAAAGAACCTTAAATTAGTTTGTGAGTTTCAAAACTTTCACATAATCCAAGGCAAATAGATCTAGTTTCACTTTATGTTGCCAGGGGTTTACAGGATGAACTTTGACCTCATGTTGACCCCCACATGACCTGCAGTTTCTTCCTGACAGAATTACTGTTCAGAAGACAAGAGATCAACTATGGAAACCAGTATCATTTTCTCACCACATTGGCCTTTACATGTTGGTTCTTTTACGTCGCACCAAACTGATCTCAATACGACCCTGAATTCAAAGCCAATTAAACTACTGAATCTATTTTAATATCATGCGGAACTGATGTGACATTTAATTTGCAAGCTGAATGGTTAAATGGTAAAGATATGTCTGTACTTGAGCAGGAGGTCATGGGTTCAGGTCCCTCCCAAGTAATCTTCAGAGAGCTCTGAAATGCAGCTTATAACCCTAACCTTCCCAACTCCCCATCAAAATCCATCTCCCCATTTTCATGATTTTGGGGGTTTTGGTAGGCAAGCCATGAGTACCAAGCCCATCAAAACCCACCTATATGAGTGGCGCACGTCTTGTGATAGATTTCAGCAAATTTGGTCCTGAAGCTAATATGTGAAGCAGGGTCAGTGATGGATTTTGGCGGACTTGGTCCTGTAGTCTGTACTTAGTAAAGACACTAGGGAGTTAGGTTTAAGGACACTCATATACATTTCCCTGAGCTTCAACTTTGCATTTTAGCAAACCAGATTTTCAACAATTTCCAATTGGCCAGATTCCTGAGAGTGGGATACAAACTTTAAAGAGAATATACATCATTTGCTTTTGCTGTAATTTTCAGAAATGGATGGAATTGGGGGGGTTGGAAATATATAGCAAATATAGTTACACTGACTTTTTCGAGGTTTTGGGTTCGAAAATGCTATAAAAACCATGAAAACAATCATTTTTCTGTAGTCTGGTTCCCTGACTCCATATAAGAAGAAACAGAGCAGTTTACATACATTGGGGAATTGTAAGGTCAGACAACCAGTCTAGCTGGTTCGTACCTGTTCATAGGTTTGTAATCAATTGCAAACAAGTGCGATGGTCAATTGGGGCCAGTATTTGAAAAAAAAAGCCAGTTGTTTCCAACGCTGATCGGCCGATCAGCGTTGGAAATTGATACAAAAATACCACTTTTCTTGAAAATGACAGTATACCAGGTGCCATGATTTTATAGGATGCTTTACACTGTCATTCACGAACAGTCCAGCAGGTATTTCAAAATGATTTGGTGGTTTTATTTTTTGATGTTTGCAAATGTTGTATTTTCCCTTTAATACAGATGCCTTATATCACACTGTTATTACTCTATCAACTAGGACTAGTGCGCTGTTTGCTTTCTATTTATTTACTTTTTCTATGTTATTTTACTGGGGTCTCGCATGGAGCTACTCGTCACTTATCAATGAACTGTTCTCCTTATTAGGGATCCTGGAATAAAACCTTCAAAAATGATTTAGTTCACAAAACTCTATAAAGAAAAAGAAATGTTCAGTACAAAAGTGAGTAATTTTGCCACTTTGAGCCAACAAAGATTCAGAAATGAATTGGGCTTGTTTTCAATTTGCATTAAAGTAGGGGACGTTGAACAATAGAGGACAATAGGGTCCACAATTTCCAAAGGTCCACAATTGACGATCGTGTACAGAACATATGGGATGTCTTCCTAAAAAAGTTAGTGTACAAACAAAAGAAGGACAACAGGGGGTCCACGATTGAAGGTGCTTACACACTTGTGTGAGTTACTACAATACAATCAAATTATAGATGGGAGAAAGAACATTGGCATGCTTTGATGTTGGAGTGCATGTACTCCCCTATTTTGAAGAATCAACTAGTCCATATTCCACTGTACGTCAAGTACATTATGATCATAAAAAAACATTCCCTCTGTTCAGCAAGCAAGCCAGACACTATAAAAGGCCACAACCACCTACACAGCTATCAGAGGAATATTTATAGTCCTGGTGGAGTATTGTCAATAATTGCACCATCTTGAAGCATAGTAATTACAGCCTTCATCATGGCAAGTAATTCAATACCAAAATGGAAAGAATTGATCCTGAACAATGAAGAAAACCTCAAGGACTTCAAGCGTTGGTTTTGGACAGGAAAAAATGGCAATGAGTTGATAGATGAACTGAACAAAGGTCAACGTGATCACTCTCAAAACTTCATAAGTCAGGCAAAGAGGCCTATCATATATTGTGATGTTGTAAACTACCCGTTTGACTTGAAGGATAGCCAGGAAGAGTGGAAATTTTGCAAGATCGGGTACACTCAAGTTGACACAACGCCCGGAACTGATAATCGGATGGAGACTGTACAGAGTCTCGTAAATAAACAATACCAGTGTCCGAAAGCTGCAGGTGTGCTCTTCTGCCTCCCCATTCACCCAACTGACTGCACACCAGTTTTGGAGGTGGAAAAAAGGATAAGGGCTGCACTTGGACACAAAGTACCCAAGGAAAAAGCAAAAGAGCTAAACTTTCCTGTGCCAACGGAATGGGTCATTACCACTCAAGGTTTTATCAAGAAAATCAAGCAGAGAATCAAAGCCATGTCCGAAGAACATAAATATGCAAGCACTAGAGTGTTTGAGGCCTGTGAATTTAGCAAGGAAACGAATCCAGTACCAGATGAACTGAAAAACCTCTGCTTTCCAGACGAAGAAGCACTGAAGGAATTTTCACTTAAGATGAGCCAAAGAACCACACCAAGCTCGGAATCCAAGAAATCATCACGCAGGAGCACTGGTGGCACAACCCCAAAGGCAACATCAGAAATAGAAGATGACTTAGGCAAGTTGCGGCTTGATGACGAATAGAGGTAATGGAGCACACCCACCATAGGGAACTATGTCAGGCAAGAAATGTAAACAGTACAAGATGGAAGGAAAATGAGACTGTTAATGAACGTGAATGAGCCCCCTGCCCACCCCCCCCCCCCCCCCCCCCCCCCCCCCCCCCCCCCCCCCCGCCAAGATCCTGGTCAACACTGCAACTGGGTGTTCAACAAAAGCAAGGGGACAAGAAACTATTATGTGGCCTGCAACCGCATACATTCCTATACAACGATTATATAGTCAAGACAGCTCAGATTGATTTTTTTCTCGACAGAGACATCAAACTAAAGAGTAATTTGTGAAATAGATGACAAAGTAATCCAACAATTGCTACTGTAGATAAAGAGTCTAGGAGCTAATCCCATTTGAGTCATGTAGTGTAGTAAGATAGCTCAGTGAAAACCACAAAGGTAAACTGACTGGATGAATGTATGTATCGTAATTAAAAAGTTGAAAAAGATATTGGCTGCTATATGGAGCAATTAGATCCCACTCTAGTCAATGTCTTTGGTCAAATTTATAATAACTGATTAAAAGTTTTCAGTTATCAACTGTCAGTTTTCAGATGTTCATTTTAATTTCCCTCTTCAATTCTTAGTTCTTATTCAAAACAGAAATTAAGACATTGCTATAATCATACTGTGTCTAACTTGTTTTGTGCAATGGATTTCATGTTAATCATTGTACATGTGTTGCTGCAGTGCCATGAGTAATGTACAATGTGCACTTTATACACGTATGTACATGTATGTATGTCCATATATTATTATTATATTCTTAGTTCTTAGGTTTTTTTGTTTTTTTTCATCAGGCAGCTGCGGTATTTCATTCGTTATCAACTGTCAGTTTTCAGATTGTAATCTGATTTTACTTTTCAATTCTTAGTTCTTACTCAAAACAGAGCTTAAGACACAGCTACTTACACAAGCATACTGTGTCTAACTTGTTTTTTTTGTAATGGATTTCAGTTTTCGCAATGTTAATCATTGTACATGTATTGCTGCAGCGCCATGAGTAGATGGATAGAATGTGCGCTTTAATTGTCTATATATTATTATTATAATCTTAGTTCTTAGGTTTTTATTTTCATGAATGTTTACAATGATAAAGAGAAAATAGTACAAGAAAAAAATACATATCTTTCTCAATTGACAGTCAATTTGTAAGTTCGTAATATGTATCAGTTGTTACTTTTCATGAATATCTGCCGGACAAAAAAAATCAAAAAAAAAATCAAAAAAAAAAAAATCAAAAAAAAAAAAAAAAAAATACATTATATCTTACTCAATTGACAGTCAATTTGTAAATTTGTAATATGTATCAGTTGTTACTTTTAATGAATATATGCCGGACGAAAAAATTCAAAAAAAAATTCAAAAAAAAAATAAATCACAAAAAAAAATCACCAAAAAAAATCACCAAAAAAAATATAAGAAAAAATAAAAATACATTTAACCTTCTTTAACATTCCTTATGTTTACTTTTATGAATGGGTGAGAAAGAGAGACAGAAATTTGACTGAAGCTCGCAACAATGTATGTATTTAGGTTATTTCATTAATTATTCAAGTAGTTAGTCAGTTACATTTAAAGGTCACTTTAAAGAGACACTTCCCAAACAAAATTCTCAAGCCACAACACCTTGTGGCTTTTGTGTGGGAAACAAATTCCACACAAAAACACAAAACTGAGATATTTGGTGAGGTATTGTCAAGACTATAATGTTCGGAAACCGTGACAGGTCGATTAGCTAGTTCCGTTGTTAGCATCATTTATATTTACCAATTGATGTCAAATGAACCAGCTGTTTGATTAATCAATACTGTCAATGAAAATGGAATAATGGAATTTAATTTTGTACAAAGTTTAACATCTTTCTATCCTATATTGTAATCATCCAACTGTTTAAACAGTCACAGACAGTCAAAACTCCATCCACTTCCCTGCCATGCCTTTTACACAGGCTAGTCACCAACAGTCAGATCATATTTCGAAGAAGCACTCTGACTAGTCAAACTCAGTCAACAGACAAAAGCAGGCAAGTGGTAGACACAGCTGGCTTATCAATCACCTACAGTCAAGGCATAGCCGTGTCAAGTTACATAAGCA